AAAATTGTCAATTATAATAAATATAGATTTTAGTCTTATGGAGCTTACTAATCATGCACTTGCCTACAGCTGCTTTAACTAACAAAATTTGAAACAAATATAACCATGAAACGGTTGAAGCAGCACCAATGGCAAACCTTAGATGGTTTGGTCACATCAAACGTTTACTAACAGATAAACCAACTAGGAGGGCAGTTGTTTCAGATTTGACATTTAACAAATACCAAGTTTGAAGTTTTTGTTTGTTTTTGTTATTTATGTCATACTTTTCCTAATTTTTTATTTTTATTTTAAACATAGTTATCTGTTTAGATTTTACACATTCCTCCTTTTACTTGTATATGTTGCTCGTGATTATTTTCTTATAAGTCTTGCTACAGATAGTCATAAGTGGTGTTAGTGATCAGCCACCTCAGCGACCGCATATTCTTCACTGTAGCAAATACTTACAAGAGCAAGATGAAGAGCCTGTCTTCTTCTGCACTTGTTGGTGTCGTCCCACCTGCTGATTTTGCTACCACACCTGAGACTTCTCTCGCACAAATTCAACTACTCACCCGACGGGTGAATGTAAATAAAAATTTGTTTTTTTTTTTTCATATTTATTTAGTGTTTAAAATATCAATTAATAATTGGCGTTTAGGGGTTAGGGGTTAGGGTTTAGGGTTTAGGGTCGTTGTTATGTGGGTGGTACGAGCTTGTCACGCCCGAATAATTTGAAGTTTGTCCGGCAGGTCGGTTTTATGACTAAGGAGGCTCAATATATACATGAAAGCCAACAATAAATTGAGTCGAGTATAACACGTCTGAAGAAGATTGTAGAAGATCGATAGGGCAAGCGAACTGTGATTACATTAGTCGAGGAAGAGAATAAGGATGAGTATAAGGAGGGTGAGGATGAATAAAATGATTATAAAGAGTTTTTATGTATTTTTAATTTCTAAAATGTTTGAACTTATATTGAAGGCGTATATCTAAACTTTTGGTAATTTAGATTTGTGACATAATCTCATTTTTCAGTATTAATATTCTTAAGAGCTATGTTCTGAGATATGGTTGGATTTAATGTTGTTGTGATATGATTTAAACATTGTGTGCACGTTGTGTAAATATAATTGATATTCTGAATTTTTTTTTAGATATAGGTTTTGCCTCAAATTGGAGTTTGTTTTGCGTCCAAAAATTTGAGGCATAGCTCATCAATATTATCGCTGCAAATTTGACGCAGGAGAAGTTCGAAGCTAGGACGATGCAAAACACGATGCTAATTATTTGTGGTGGAATATCTCGCCGCAACATTGATGAAATTAATTTACCAACCCCCAAATTACCCTCGGAAAATATCGTACATAAATCCGATGCAAATCCGACGATAATCGTCAAATATTATTGGATTTACGTTTGATTAGCATATGATTTGATAGACGCAAATTTGCCAATTTTCTATAGTGGTTATTAAATATATTTTTCATATTTAATAAAAGTGAATAAATTTTCATATTTTTTTTTTAATTAGGAATGTTGCTCGCTTGAACTCATAATTAATATCACCCCTACAAATAATCATAAGGGTTGCAAATTTTGCATTACAATCATAATTTCTTTTATACCATAATTTTAAAAAGTATTTGAAAAGAGTAATAATAATCCAATTAATGAAGCAATACCTCTTAAGTTTTTTTTTTTCTATTAATGCAACTTAAGAAAAAATTAAGATCAATGCATTCATAATAATAATGATCGATATATTGGACGATGGAGAATAGTAATTAAAATTATTTTAATAATTTTGTAAATATTATAAAAAATTACTGATGGGCAAAAAAAAATTGGAATAATTAGTGGATACCTTTTAGATGAGTAATTTTCCAATACATATTAATTTGTTTGGATAATTTAGAATCCGTTTGGGGCAGCTTATAAGTGTGGTTGGCGTTTTCAAAACGCCGCATCACCGTTTGTAAAACATGTTTCAGCAGCTTATCAAAAAACATGATTAGGTTTTTACACTAAACGCAAGCCGCCAGTCGAACCCCACAGGCCACCCGTGGGTCACGTTTCAAGATAAACTACTTATCTGAACTAACACAAGCTGTCTCAAATGCACCCTTAGTCTAGAACATGGAAGAACAACAATAAAATATGACTTCTAAGAGAACTTTTTATTTTTTTAATTAAAAATAAACATAGAAAGTTTATGTCAATAGAATGATAGAAGGGGTAGCCCAATCAAAGTAAGACACTATGTGTTTATAAGTTTATAAGTGTGTCCTCTCACGACATAGAAAAACATGATTACAATATTTCACTGAGAATTATACTTTTTTTTATACATCACATAGAAAACACAAGTCTTAAACATAACAGTCATATTTTAACTACAACGGTTGTAACCAATGTTTGTCAGTGATTAGAGGTGGGAGGCTGTGATTCAAAATTCGACAATCTTGAGCTTGTTGGCTTCCCCTCGTGGACTTGCTCAATCCGACTATAATATGTCAATTTGATTCTATTTGACCGTAAATTGATGATGCAAAGCCTCCAATTATATGTTTATTAAAAGTAATGTTATTATGAATAAAAAATACATTGAATATTACCCCCCAAAAATAGCTGGCCTAAAAGGAAGTGATATTGTCTGCTTTCTTGCCTTCCATAGGTCATTAGTCTGAATAAAATAATTCAAAGGGACAAACACAAATATTTATTCAGCATCATTAAAAGTGCGTGCGAATCAAGTCATTATATCAAAAATTTTCCTTATTGAATAGCCCCACTTTGTTGATATTATAATTATACATAGGCTTTTAATTAGATCGTTTTTTTAACATATGTATTCATGATAATATTTAGCATACATTATAATCTTATGATTGTTAAAGATTGAATTAAAAGGAAAAAATTATTAGGTTCGGACTCCCAACGTAGAGGTACATCCGGAGTCCAATAAAATCACGTTACGTCTTACGTCGAGGTGATAATTTTTTTTTTTTTTGTTTTAGCACAAAGGAATATTAGAGGTGATAATTTTTTTTTTTTTTTTTGTTTTAGCACAAAGGAATATTTCCCTCGTGTTATTATGCGTCATTCAGACATTATTGTGGTGGTATTCATGTAGTATTGTGTTATGGGAATACTCTCAATATCATAATAACACATTAATACCATTACAATAACACGTGAATAACACAAAATAACTAGAGAATATTTCTTTATGCTAAAATGATTTTTTTTTATTTTTTTGTCACCTCCACATGACATAATTTTATTGGCGTCCGAATGTACATCTACATTCGGAGTCCGGACTTAATAATTTTTCATTAAAAAGGAGGTTTTAATAGTATCTTCTATCGTATCCTTTATATGCTTGAATGAATTGTTAATTAATTAAGAATTGAAAGATTTTTTCATGAAAAAAATAAGATTAAAACGATAATATTCACAAGTACGTTTTGAGTTTGAATTGAAATTGATTCAACTTAAAATTGCATCAAGCACATAACTCGAATATAATGCAGGTCAAAAAAAGTTCAACCTAAAAATCAACCTGCTGACCTTAATTTGACATGCATGATTTGTTTTACCCAAGGCATTAGACTTATTTGGCTCAAAATTGCAATAATGTCCGGTAAATTTCGGGTTATCAGGTCAACTTCTAGTCAATTTCAGGTTGATAAGTTAGCTTTAAGTCAACTTCTGAATGGCAAGTAAACTAGAACGAGGTTGAAAAATTAAATAGGTTAGGATACATATCACCAATCCAACCCAAACATAAATTTGGTCAACTTGATCTTGAGTTTTTTTAATTAAATTCAAACATAGTAAGATAAACAAGTTGAATTGAATTTGGGTTACTCTTGACTTATGATTGAGCTTGATTAACAAATTGAGTGAAAAATATAGAGCTAAAGAGTTTGATTTGGTTACAAACATCAAACAACCTTTTTGATTAGTAATTCAATTATCGTCAAACATGATCTTTGGTGGGTGGCCCAAAAGGTTCTACACTTGGAGCCCATCAACCAAAAAAAATGACATTATATATACAAATTAAAATATAAAGCACTCTGAATAGTAATATTTTTGGATGATAAAATTGATATTGCCAAAAAAATAATAGAATGACAACTAATACATCACCAACAAAATTCTATCATTTCAACAATGATATGAATATCAAAACAATTTTTTTTATGAAAAAAACGTTCAAATTTTAATTAAAATTCATTTAAAATTATGATTTCAATAAATTTATAGTCAAAATTTACTGTCTCAACAAAACAAATCTAAAAAAAATTAGTGCAATCTAAGTCAAACCAAACTTAAATTAAGTCATTAAATTATTTTTAAAATTTTTTTTTTTGTTAAACAAAGCCAAATATGACATATTTATATTCAAATCGAGTATATTAGCAAAGATGAATCCAACAAACACAACATCTATCAATTCTCACATGGTTAAGGCACAATTCTCATCAAATGTTTTATGATCAATGGTATCTCTGTATCACGTCAATTAAAAGTGATTCAAATTTTTCCTTATTTACAATGTAAAATTATAGATAAGAGTCAAGAAACTTATTGATAGAGTCATGTCCCTCTCATTAGAGGAACCTAGACCATGTGCAAGAGGAAGGCCAGAGTCTGCAGAAGAGGGAGTTGCAATCTAATATACTGCACTGCAGATTCAATCAACTCCGGTAGCCGCCAAGGTAGCTCTAGCTCAACCCTACACATTTACATTCCTGTCCATGACCATCTAACATTCATTTATCAGCCCCTAACAACGAAACCCAAAACAACAGCACAAACTAGTTAATCACACCACAAAAACAAACGAAATTAAATACAGCCAGCTTTCATGGCTAAATAGCATTAAGATAATAGACTAAACCTGTGCTTGCATAAAAATCACTGTTGAAATCGAACTCTTCAGAAAATTAAAAAAAACAAGTAATAGGCAGGCAAGTGCAGCTACACAGCAATAGATCACACAACAATAGATCATAAAACTCCTTTCGTTATCATTTAAGCTTGAAACAAAAGTAAAAAATTACAATACGATTAAGCTAAAGCAGTAAAAACACACACATCCAAAAGCTCCCCCCAGCCAAAAACGCTAGCTTTCTACCCCCCAAATCCATAAAGGGTGCGTCCCTGGCGCTTGAGCGCGTACACAACATCCATGGCCGTAACAGTCTTCCGGCGAGCGTGCTCCGTATATGTGACCGCATCGCGTATGACATTCTCGAGAAAGATCTTCAGAACCCCGCGCGTCTCCTCGTAGATCAGACCGCTGATACGCTTTACGCCGCCACGCCTCGCCAGCCGTCGGATCGCCGGCTTCGTAATGCCTTGGATGTTGTCTCGGAGAACTTTGCGGTGGCGCTTCGCGCCTCCTTTGCCCAGACCCTTGCCGCCCTTACCCCGTCCAGACATGTTTCTTTTGTCGCGGAGAAGGGATTGCGCAGAGATTTACGAGTGTATAGTGATGAGTTTGATTCGAGGGAAGGGAATCGTATTTATGGATTTGTGGTATGCTACATTAACCGTTGGATGGCATGGCGATCCGGTGTTATGTTTTTGTTTCATTATTGGCCGTTGGATATTGAAATCTCGAATTTGATTGGTTGGAATGAAAATAAGCGGACTGCGGTCCTATGTTTTTATAAAGTTAATAATTTTAGTTGTATATATAATGTATAAAAATAAAATCTTTTTTTTTAATAATATGTGCTATTAATTTTGTATGTTTAAATTATTATATAAAATAAAAAATTATTGAGCAAATAATCAAAATAATTAGAAAATATAACTTCATTATTAAACATGTAGCATAATCATTAAAAAGTGTTACAAATATCTCATTGTTTAATTATATTATCCTAAAATTTAATTATATTTATTTAATTATTATATTGTATTATCTAATAATTTAATTGATTTAATGTACAAAGGGATGCTTTGTGATTAGAGGTATGAACAAGTTGAATTGAATTTGGGTTACTCTTTGACTTATGGTTGAGCTTGATTAATTAATTGAGTGAAAAATTTAGAGTTAAGGAGTTTGATTTGGTTATAAATATCAAACAACGGCCTTTTGGATTAATAATTCAATTATGGTCAAAATATGATCTTTGGTCGGTGGCCCGGAAGGTCCTACACTCGAAGCCCATCGACCAAAAAAAAATGAAATTATATATACAAATAAAAATCTAATGAAAATATAAAACACTCTGGAATGTAATATTTTTGGATGATAAAGTTGGTATTGCCCAAAAAAATAGAATGACAATTGATACGCCGCCAACAAAATTCTATCATTTCAACAATAATATGAATATCGAGACAATTTTTTATGAAATAAACGTTCAAATTTTGATTAAAATTCATTCTAAACTGTAATTTCAGCAAATTTATAGTCAAACTCACTGGCTCGACAAGACATACCCAACAATAAAAAAAAAATTTGTGCAATCTGAGTCAAACCAAACTTAAATTAAACCATTAAATTATTTTTAAGAAATTTTATGTGCATAACTAGAATGTCAAACAAAGCCAAATATGACTTGCTTATATTCAAATCGAGTGTATTAGCAAGAAGAATCCAACGAACACAAGATCGATCAATTCTCACATTATTAAGGCACGTAAATTCTCATCAAACATTTTATGATCAATGGGATCTCTCTATGACGTCAATTGAAAGTGATTCAAATTGCTTCCTTATTTGCAAGGTGAAATAATAGATAGAGTCAAGTCCCTCTCATTAGAGGAACCTAGACCATGTGCAAGAAGAGGGAGTTGCAATCTAGCATCCTGCACTGCATATTTGATCAACTCCGGTCGTCGCCGCCTCTACTGTTGTCTCCGCTTCTGACCGCCGCCACCTCTAGCTATTGTGGCCTTTTCTAATCATTGCCACCCACTATTAGTCTCTAATTATCATTGACATCTCCCTTCTACTCCCACCGACCAATGCTGACTGCTGACTCTGGTTGTTATCGCCTCCAACCAACTCCAAATGTCATCTTCTCTGCCCAATTGCGGTCGTTTTTGCCTCCGACCAACTCTGGTTGTCATCGCCACCTGCACCTCAAAACAACTCTGGTCACCACCACCTTTAACCAATTCTTGTCAGCACCCTCCATCCAACTCCAATCATCTCACTTTGGCCAACTCTGACCACCGTCGTCTTGGGCCAAATACTGGATCTCCTTTGGTTAACTCCGACAATCGGTGCATGTGTCCAACTTTGGTCACTGTTGGACAACTCCTACTGTCATTGTCGTGGCCCTTCGACCAACTCCGGCAGACGCCGCCTCTGATATGTTTGGTCGCTATCGCCCTTGCTTCTTGCAATGAGGTCTCTTGTGAAAGTCTTAATGTGCACTACAGAACCCCGATGTACATTACAAAGTAATAGTGCACCCCACTTGCGGTGCAATGACACATCCTTGTGGCAACATAATAATACACCCCAAAGACGATGACTTTCTTCAAACTCCTAATGCTCCTGAATCCTGCCCCTACAACCTATCATTGTCATCACAACTCTCCACTGCAACCTGTGTAACTAACTACGACCTACGTGGTTCCAACCCGCGTGGCCTATGAACGTCATTACAACTCACTTCTGCGACCTATGTGACAACTACAACATATTTGGTCCACAACTCATGTAGCTCTTAGACTCATACCCCCACAACCTACAAACACATCAAAACTCAGCACTACGACCTATGTAACCCACCACGATCTACGTGGCTAATGGCTTCTGCAGCTCTTGACTCATGATCCGTGACATACAAATGTTATTACAGCTCACCACTATAACCTAAGTGGCTCACAACTTATGTAGCTCCCTACTCCAATCTCTGTGATGTATGGACGTTGTCACAACTCATCATTATGACATACATAACCAATTACGACCTACATGGTTCGCAGCTCATGAAGCTCCTTACTTATACCTGTGTAGCCTACAGACATCATCACCACTCACCACTAAGGCCACGTGTATAACTATGGCCTATGTGGCTCACAACGCCCGTAGCTTCTTACTACGACCTCTATACTAATTGAAGCTCCTGAAGTAATTATTTCTAGCCCACATGTCCAACTTCTATTATGGCTTTTAACTATTGTACACAAGACAAACTGGTGCTACGACCATCTTTTACAACATTAATGGAGGACTCCATAACAATTGACTCTGGTCCTTGCAGCATGCTTTAACTGAAAAATACATTCATTACAACCAGACAACGACTATGATTGATGAACCACTGTTATAAATTTATAAATGATTATCATTGTAACTCTAAGAGAATAGTAAACTTATGTACTCACCATTTAAAATGAATTATTTCAACTGAGCTAGTCCCATGTTTTTTTTCCCTTTTATTTGGTTTTCCACGTAAAAATAGAGATGTCTCCTTCTGCATACTTCTCTTTTATTATTTGAGTGTGTAATAGAGTCTCATACAACTCTAAGCCTATAATTCATTATTCTACTGTCGTAGACCTTCAGACACGCTTGAATCCCCATACTAAAATAATAAAAGATGAAAAATCTAAATTTCTGGTATTTTCAAATAATGAAATTATACCCACCAGAAAGTACAGGGCAACTAATATACGATTAATAAATTTTTATCATTCCACATAGCTCTCGAGGCATTGCAAGAATATGGAGATAATTTTTTGAGTAAGGAACAGTCAAACCCCAATTAAAACTCATTCATAAATCAAATTTTAATAAATTTATAGTGAAGCAGATTGACTCGACAGGATAAACACAATGACACCAAATTTAATAAAATCTATGTTAAATCAAGCCTGGATCAAACAGTAAAGACATGTTATGAAGCATCAAGTGTCCAATTTGAAGGTTAAATAGATTCAAAATTTTATAATCTTATGGTTGAATCAAGCTTCTCAACGAGAAGAATCAAACAAGCATGTGATCACTTAACTACAACATCATTATTGCGTGCAAATATTCACAGAAAACCCCCTGATTGAGGAAATCTCTATAAGTCGTCTGATTGAGCGGTCTAGATTATTTTCTTATTTAACATGTAGAGAACTCCTAAACTATATAAATAGAGTCTTACCCCTTCATGTAAGAAGGGATGACTTGGAAATTGAATCTGAGGAAGCTCAAGACTTAAAAAAGAAGAAGTTGAGGTCTAGTGTTTCATAGCTTGTTTAACTCCTAACTTTGACCTATGAGGCATACAAACATTATCACCGCTTACACAAATTTGAGCTTTGGCCTTTGCAGCCTACAAACATTATGTTAGCTCATGCAACGTCCAATTTTTAACACTGCGACATAAGTGCATTATCTCAGCTCGTGCAACACCCAACTTCAACATCTATGACGTACAAATGTTATCTCAGCTCATTCAAACCTCAAAATTGGCCTATGCCTACAAATGTTATCTTAACTCTTACAGCTCATAATTTTTGTCTCTACAGCCAACAAGCGTTATCTCAGCTCATACAACACCCAACTTCGGCCTCTACTGCCTATAAACATTATCCCAACTCATAAAACTCTCAACCATGGCCTATATGACATATAAAAATTATCTCGGCTCATGTAACACCCAACTTTGGCCTCTAGGCACGTAGATGTCATCTCAGTTCATACAACTGTCAAATCCACCCCCTATTACTTACAAATGATATCTTAACTCGTACAACTCAAATTTCTAGCCTCTATGGCCTATGAAAGTTATCTCAGTTCATGTAGTACCTAACTCTTACCTCTATGAGATATGGATGTTTTCATAACTTATGCAGCTCCCAACTCTGACCTCTACAACCTATGGATGTTATCACAGCTCATGAGGCTACATAATTCGACCAGTGCAGCCTACAAATGTTATATCAACCCATGCAACTGCCAACTTCAAGTTTTCAGTCATACGTAAGTTATCCCAACTCCTGTAACACATGACTCAAACTCTGCAACCTACAAATATTATCTCAACTCATGCAACACCTAACTTTGACATATATGACTTATGGATGTTATCATAACTCATGCAACACTCAACTATGACTTTCGTGACCTACAAACATTTTCACATCTCATGTGGCTCCCATGTCTAGCCTTTTTGGCTTACGAACTTTATTGCAACTTACCATTATAATAAAAAAAATTGAACAGTGGTGGCATTTGATGATACTGGCTTAAATCTACTTTGGAGCTAACACATGATAAGATGAGCGTGCATTGGTTTCCAACTGAAAATAGATAAGAGATAATGATTATGAATGTATTAATACGTGACTGTTGTCAAGTTAGTATAAGTGGATGCTACAAATCAAGTAATTTTATTCTAGTAATTGTAGTTGAAATGGTAAGGGTTGAATGGCTCAAATGGCAGACATGTAGTTATAATATAAAAACAATGGTAGTATAATAGTAGCTGAATGGTGATAGTTGATTGAAGTTAGTCGGCGGCAATCCGACAGTTGTGGTAGTACAATATCATTGATCATGTGACCGTCTCAACAATGGTCAAGTAGCTATAGTAGTAAAAATTATCCCCCACCTTTAAATTACTTTTCATAGAATACAACAAATCGTTGTATGATAAAAAAAAATTGCATTGGTGGATGAAGCTCACAAATATTTCAAGCACCAAAGCTTTCATAAATCTTCCCATTAGGAGAGGGCAGAACCAAATGTGAACTTCACTTTTTTACTATGATAGAAAAAAAAAACTTGGTAGAAGGGAACATGATGGTCTTCTTAAGAGATTGTAGCAAGAATTATCCCCCAACTTATAATTACGGTTCATAGAATACACCAAACCATTGTATGATAAAAAACTGCAACGGTAGAATATGATGGACTAATGTTTAACATTACATGAAGATTCAACCCGCACTGATAAATAATTGTCGAAAGCAGAGGCATAAAAGATTTTTATTAGAAAATCTCATGAGAACAAACTACAAGGTGTAACTCAACCAAAATAATTGATTATATATTTCAATGTTTAAAGCTTTATCATTCTATTTAAACTAACAAAAATATGATTATAGAGTTTTGGCCGATTTATAAAGATCACATAATAATCATATTGAAAGAATATTACAATAGTCGTTATTGGCAATCAATGACGATCTTAGTCGAAAATGTGTGGACTTAATTCTTAGCTGCTTTTTCTCAATCTCATTGTTGAAAATGTGATTATATTTATAGAATTGTGAGAGGGACATCATAATAAATTTAGCCAAAAATAACTTCATTTAATGTATTTTTAAATCATTTTTTTAATAAATGAGCTTGTTTAAAAAAAACACCAAAATTAATTTCAAACAATTTTGAATGTTTGAAAAAAATAATCATATCACATTTGAATCCATCAAATAGATTTTATTTCAAAATAAATATAAATAAAAAAAAAACAGCAATGAAGTAGAAAAAATAATAATTAAAAAAATTACTATTTTAAAATCACAAATTTATATTAAATAGATTTTATTTCAAAATAAATATAAATTAAAAAAAAAAACAGCAATGAAATAGAAAAAATAATAAGTAAAAAAATTACTATTTTAAAATCACAAATTTATATCACATATTTAAAATTCATTGCTTGTTATTATTAAAAAAAAGCATTTATAAATAACAACCTGATTTTTCTTTTAGGCTTTAAGCGCGCCGCCATCTTTCCCTGAAACCCTAGCTTGTGCTTGTGCCTCCTCAGGTCGATCGGATTCCGCCTGTGCTCCTCTGTTCGGCAAGGTACCGCCATGATCATTCTTCTCTGTGTTTGACTCATTAATCCTTTATCTTCATTGATGTGTAATGACATATGCGCTTTATACAAGTTTCCTATCTCGGAAACCATCTTCTACTACAACACTCCCACTCTCCCAATTTCGCCCAAACACCCTTCCCTTCTCTTCTCAAACTAAAACCTGCTTACGTTTCTCCGCCTTCCCATAACCATCGCCTTCTTGATCGATCCCTCGCCTTACACTCGCGATTAGGGAGGCCAACGACGGGATCGCGGCGTACAGAGATCCGACACTCCCATCTTTCTCCTTCTTCCGCTCCTCATCTTTTGGGATCCGTATATTTCTCAATCAGACCATTATATCTCATCGATACACATAATTTATTTCTTAATCTTTTCGTTATATCTAAGTGATGTATATAATTGATCTTTTGATATTGAATCCTGCTTCAATCTCTCCGATCTTTTGATCTTGAGTCTTGCTTCTAATGGATTCCGGTGATCGGGCTTCTTCATCACAGCCTCCATTAATATTATCCTGATTTCATCACAGCCTCCCTTAATATTTTCTCTTTTGTTAGTTTATCCTTAAATTTTGTTTTCTTAGAATTCATTTGCTGCGTAGCTCATCTTCCATATTTCTCCATGATGGGATTAGAAAACTATGATTGTGATGTATATATTACTTATTGTGAAATTTACATACATGCCACGCAATTCTTATGTATTTAACCATGTACACCCAAACTTTGTACACCCAAAGTTTGATATTTTCATTAAAAATTAAAACACATTGGTGTCATAAATCTATGCATGAAAAGATGTATTTTACTTTTAAAAAGAAATTTATGGTGTTATATTTGATGTGATGCTATAGATTTGGGTGCTATGCATGTAAATATGAATGTTCAGGGGTTACATATGTACATATATAATAATTGCACGGCATGCATGTAAATGCCACTTTCCTTTATGCTGTGGTGTGGTATGTATTGTGTATACTATTGTCACTTCATTTTCTTATCATTTTAGTTATGTTTTTCCAATCGAACCGTTAAATTAATGGAATAGTTACATACAGACCACCTGAAACATTGATATTTACAAATTAACCACATTTTTTTTTTTTGAACTAAGGAACCGGTGTATTTACGTGTGACACAATCAAACTATTGAGACTTTGATGAAAATAAAAAATAAGGGTTGGCGTGCGTTTTACCATGAATTTTGATATTTGAGCTAGAATTTGAAAATGGATGAAAGAGAGGGGTTGATTTGTAAATATTAGGTTTCAGGTGGTCTCTATGCTATTGCCCCTAAATTAATAAAGTATGCCTCTGACTATGTTTGCTGAGCAACTAATACTTGTGAACTTTTTAAATATTAATGATTTCTGAATTTTCAATTTTTAAAGTTAGCAATACATGTTCACATATCAAATAGTTGTTATTTGATTTTTATTTATTCGGTTAATTGATTGAGAACTGCTAAATTGATGTTAGGAATGTTAGCAAATTGCAGGAACCTATGATTTGGTGATAAGACAGTTTTATGCATTCATAGTTGCTTAATTAATAAGTATTTACATGTCTAACACCTTCAAGTTTATATTTATATATGTACCACACATTTCTTATGTATTTACATATCTAACATTTAAAGTTTGATATTTGCATTTTTAACACACTTTGGTCCTAAAACTTGTGCATGAACAGGTGTATTTTTTCTTTTAAAAAGTTAATAATAGTGGTCTTTTTTTATGCATTGTCAAAGATTTGAGTGGCATGCACCTAAATATAAAAATTTTAGGTAAATGCCCCTAAAAAAATGAGGTGTGTAACCATGTCAATATGTGTTAAGTTGCATTGTATATTCAATAATCAACTTGTACAACTTCATTAGTTAATTATAATATATTTGGTTATAATTTTATGTTGTTTCATTAAGTTTAGCAACCAAAACATTGCTATTGATAAAATCTAGCAATCTGGTGATATTTTTTGAAGTGTCAATCCCATGTATATACGCGCGCCACAATCAAACCATTGAGAATTTGATAAAAATGATATCATGGATTTTGATATTTGAGTGAGAATTTCAAAAATAGATGAAATGCGATGCTAGAATTGTAAATAGCAATTTTTTGGCCTTTGGGTGCTATGTACGTAAAAAGCCCCAACTTTTTAAGTTGATTAGGCTTGGGTGCCTCTCCAATTGGAATGTATCTGATCAGAAGAGCAATTGTGCAGTTTAGAGTTGCCATGTTGGCTTGATTTGGGTACTTCCAAATACAGTTTTGATTTAGTGCTTTATGTTATATTGTGGGATTAGATGTTCATTTTTATTTTACTTGGTTAATATATCCTAACTAATTTCGTTGCAACGGAAATAAATACTTCAGCATTTGTAGGATCTGAACTTATTTTGTTGCCACTGCAGAACTCCCCCTAGTTTTTTTTTTTTTGATTCATTGATAATTGAATAAAAATTAATCAGCTACCAAGCTTCAAAGGATGACATTGCTGTGCATGCTGAACTTTATGGCCCTCCTTCATCTGATTATGTTAATGTGTCAAGATGGTATAATCACATTGAGGCCCTTTTGAGGTTGAGGTATATTATTCAACATAATTGATCTTTTCAGTATGTTTAGGGGTCATTTGGGATCACTTTTGATTTATCTTGCTTATGTATTGATTTGATTATATTTGATTAAGGTATGACTTTTTTTAAGAATATATTATTTTTTTAAAATAAAAATTTTTTTAAATATGTGAAGAAGGATTCATGTAGCCGACCCCACGTAGTGGGATTAAGGCTTTGTTGTATTTAAATATGTGAAGAAACACTAAACAATTATGATTTTAAAAACAGAAGAAAAGGCAAAAACAAAAATGAAATCCAAAATTGATCCCAAACAAGCCCCTTGGGACCTTTTGAGATAACATTTTTTTGTTTTTGTTTTTACTATTTATTATTTATTTTATTTTATTTATGTTTTTACTAGAAATAAAACGTATTTGATATGTTATAACATATTCATACTGTTTTTAAAAACACACAAAACGGTTTTATATGTAAATTTTTAGATGTTTTGAATGTTTTAAGCAGCAGTACTTTTATTGCACTTAGTAGGGTCGGCTACATGAATTTTTTTTCTCCATTGAGTTCTGTTGAGTGTAATATTTTGAATTTTTTTGAAAACAAGCTACTCTGCTTTTGAAAATAAATTATTAAAATTTATAAAAAAATGTACTGAACGAACGTGTTTTTAAAATAAAAGAAAAAACAAAAGCAACAAAAAAGTGATCCCAAACAAGCCCTTATTTTTTTTTTGCATGCTATTGAACTCGCATTCCTTCTGCACGGCCTTCATTGCAGCGGTGTATCAGGGGAGGGACAAGGTGTGAAAGTTGAAGGGTCTGCTACTGTGTCTGCAGAAGCTCCAGCCTCTCCTCCCATTGCCGACACCAAGGTGATGACTTTACATCGCTTCTGAGTTTTGCATTATTAGGTCGAACAAATTGATATTTGCATTGATCTCAGTTAATAATTAGAGCAGTTTTTAAAGCTTTTTTGTAAGATGTGTTATTATGAATCATTTGAAAAAGAAAATTTTAGTAGCTATGCCATTTTTTTTTGCAAGTTTTCTTTTATTAACTTGAAGATTAATTATCAGATTAATCTCTGAAACAGTACCACTACTTCAAATTTGGAAGATTTAGACACATATATCACTCAATTCTTGTGTATTTACATATCTAACGCCTAAACTTTAATTTTCACATGCATCGCACCGTATACATGAAAAGGTGTATTCACTTTTTAAAAGTTTAAATGATGGTAATTTGGATGTGATATGAAAGATTTGGGTGGTATAAACTAAAAAAAGTAAAGTTTAGATGTTAGATGTGTAATTGAGCTGTGCTGGATTCTCGTCTAATTGTTTACCTTGAACTGTAGGCCTCATCAGCTGTTGATGATGATGACGATGATGTTGATCTATTTGGCGAGGAGACTGAGGAAGAGAAGAAGGCTGCTGAGGAGCGCGCAGCTGCGGTGAAAGCATCTGGAAAGAAGAAAGAGAGCAAGCTTAGCTCGTTTTTCGTTAAAATTTTGTTTATTCTGAAGTATGAAGAACCTTCAATAATTGTAGATTTTACATTTTGATAATTCTGTTCTGTGCTCAAATTGTTATTTTAATATATTTTATGAAAACAGGTGGAAAATCATCAGTTTTATTGGATGTGAAGCCATGGGATGATGAGACTGACATGCAAAAGCTTGAAGAAGCAGTCAGGAATGTTCAAATGGAAGGCTTGCTTTGGGGAGCCTGTAAGTGACCAGTTCTCCTGCTGTTCATGTTATATTTTCTAGTTTGATTGATGGAAGATTTGCATACAGACCACTTATCTAACACTTGAAACTTTAATTTTTACATATATACCATTTTATTCATACACGAAAAGCTGTATTTCAGTTTTTAAAAGTTAAAATAGTTGTACTATTGATGTGATTTGGAAGATTTAGGTGGTAGAAATGTAAAAAAAGCAAAGTTTTGGTGTTAGATGTGTAAACATAGAAGAATTGGGTGGTATATATATATAAATGCCTTATTGATTGTTTTGGTGCAAAAGTTCTGGTTAAATGGAAATGAAATATAAATGATGAGTATGTTTTTATGGGCACCATTTATCCCCAGCAAGTTCAATATTTAATATCATCTACCTAAACCTTCTTAGGTGGGTCTAGAACATTTAGATGGATTTAGTGGAAGTCCTGATCCAATACAAAGATTATAAGTAGTATCAAATTGACATCCATTAAAACCAATAATGAGTTTTTTAACTACATTGAGTATAGGAAATGTATGTTGTCTTCTGGATAAATCTACGGCGTCTTTTTGAACGATGTTATGGAAGGTACTCGCTAAGTTTAATAGACTTATGTTCTCAAGTAGATTTATGTCTGATAACTTGGGATGATGGAAACATGTTGATTCTACTTGTCATCCTTATATGCGCTAGTTTCCTCGATTCGTTGCAAAGTTGTTGCAAAGCTACTTTACAAATGGAAACAAAATTAAAATGATGATGTTATGATTTTTTTTGTTTTTTTTAAATGATTGTGCAGCAAAGCTTGTTCCAGTTGGATATGGAATAAAGAAATTGCAGATTATGATGACCATTGTGGATGATTTGGTGTCTGTTGACAACCTGATTGAGGATTACCTCACCTCTGAACCTGCAAATGAGTTCATCCAGAGTTGTGATATTGTGGCATTTAACAAAATCTGTAAGTTTGTTCTCCCAGTTTAGATTGTTTTATCGGCCATGTAATTTTTATGTTAAAGTTAGGAATTATCTTTTTTTTTCTTATTCATTTCATTAATTCGCTTTAATTTTGTTGAATTTTGCAGAGATAATGCAGTGCAGATTACTGCTCGTATCGCTTCTTGTTTTTGGTCTTTTATGAGCATTTTCATCCTTCACATTGAGAATGTTATATTAATTATGAACTACGATTATGTCTATTTTATTTGTTTTTTTTTTTCTTTTGGGTGCATTTATGAACCAATTTGTATTGGTAAATTGAGGATGGTCGATTGAACTTTGTGAGAATTTTGTACTATTTAGCTGATTGTTGAACTTCATTGTGTGGGATTTGGCTCGTTTTTCTAACTGATTGCATGTTTCTGGACTTTATATAGACTTTATATTATTCCCTGTTTTCAAATAGTGTATATCGTTATAAAAATATCAAATAAAATATAAATTTAGTGTGCATATATTATTAATAATCGAACATATCAAATGATAAATTATAAGTTATACATGCACTTGCTGGAGATAAATGGTGCCCATAAAAATATAATTTATCATGATATAAGTTATACATGATAAATTATATTTTGTTTAAATTTTATAAATTCAATTCTATAGAGTATGAAGGCTTATCTTTTATTTTTAACAGCTAACATCATGTCTGATGAATTTGTTCGAATAAGGTATAACTACAGCCCTATTTTAATAAGAAAACTAAAGAAAGAGAAGCTTTAAACTTTTGGATAATGCCTGAATTTGTTGGAATTGATTGCTTCTCCGAGATAAGTTTAAGCTAAAAGCTATTTTATTTTTACTAGGAAATAAGAAACTTAATATCATTAATATTTTGCTATAAAATTAATTCAGTTTGGGAGAATTAACTATTAAAACTGTTGCCAAATATAAAAAAAAAATCTATTTTTTATATAATTTTTATAATCACAAAATATCATATTAAAAACAGCATTCATTTTCGTATTTTAATGGTCAAATTCATCTTTTATGTGATTTTATCTGTTGATTGATTGTGGATTTGGTCCAACCATTTGAGAGAGTGATAAATAGCATTAATTGTAGTACATGAAAATGATTAATTAGTGAGTCATTTCATGTCAAAAATATCATAAAGATTTTTAGAAAGTCCATTAATTTGAATTTAATAAATCCTTTCATTTGAGCTTTATAACCTTCATTTCTTTCATTACCAATAGTTAATGTTTGTTTATAACCTTCATTTCTTTCATTGCCAATAGTTAATGTTTGTCAATTTCAGTTAGATAGAATATTACACACACAAAAATTGGGCAAAACAACATAAATTAGCAATACATAAATTAGCAATAACTAAACATAAATTAGCAATAACTATAAAAATTAGGAAGAAAATAATACTATGATTTAGCATATTTAATCGTTGCTATACAATCAATAAATCATAGAAACTACACTAAAAATTTGCTGAAAAAAAGTGGCGTTGAAAAAAAGTGGCGTTTATGAACTATAAAAAAATAAAATTTTATCTGAAGAAACTGAGAGTGCTAAAGAGACGCTTGATGTGAGACCACAAGTTTCTTCCTAAAGACTTGAGTCGAGTAAATAGACTCCACCTACGAGTTGAAGAGCTAACGATACATTCATTCTTCTTTTCAAAGAAGACCCCTTCGCCGATCTCATTGTTCACTTCCGCTAACTTTTGTTGATCAATAGCATTGGTATTGGTAGAAGATGAGGCATCCGTGATGTAAAAATAGCCAACTATTAATTCGTTCTCCTTGGCAAACTTCATGTTCTTGAGTGACAAGTTGTTCTCTTTTAATATCCTACTCACATTAGAGAGTAGATCATGGCGGTCAGAAGTAAGCATCTCCATTTTTAGCCCCTACGCTCAATAACAAACATATATAAATATATATTCAACATGCAAAAAATAACATATTTCTATTGATCTAAAGTTATAAAAAAATCATAAATACTCGAGATATTCTTCGTTCGA